TGACCTCAAAGTTAGTTGATATAGTGGATCACTGGGCCTAGAATCAGGAAAATTTGAGTTCAAACCAAGTCTTAGATACTTACTAGCTATGTGACCTTGGGTAAGTCACTTTACCTGTCTGCCTCAATCTCATCAATTGTTAAATGGGGGTAATAATAGCACCTACCTTCCAGAGTTGTTGTAAGGAGCAAATGAGATAATATTTGTAAAGCACTTGGTACAATGCCTGGCACATAGTAGGTGCTTAGTAAATGCTTTAAAAAAAGAACCCCTGGCATAGAATAAGACCTATTGCCATCACCCTGGGGCTATGAGAACTCTCGATTATCAGTTTCTACCTCTAAGGTCTCTCTAGCTCTAAATCTATGATTTCTGAGATTCTCAAGACTCTTAGCTATAGACAGGTTGCCAATCTGCACTAACAGAAGGAATCTCCACACTGAGAATTCCCTATCCCAATATAATCACAGATCTATCATTCCCCTACACAAAATAATAACACTTCAAAATTCTGTATTTTCATTGGCTGCTGTGTATACTTCCTTCATCAATACATATTGTATTGGGATTCCTCTATATTTGAGTAAGAATCAATCAGTAAGTATTTATTAAGCACCTACTATGTGCCAGGCACTGTGTTAGGAATGCAGCTACAAATACAATGAGTGAAACCATCCCTGGGGAAGATAACAGAGTCTTTATGAATTACTGTTCTCTTCCCCTCTCCTTGTCCCCCCAAATGAATAGCTTGTGAAATAGCTCTTGGCCAGCCATTTGGCAAGGAGTCTTCCTCTTAGCCAAGCTGGTCCCTCAGATAATAACTGAGCCCACTCTAGAATACCTTTTTTTTTTTTTTTTTTTACTTTTTGGTGAGGCAATTGGGTTTAAGTGACTTGCCCAAGGTCACACAGCTAGTAAGTGTCAATTGTCTGAGGCCAGGTTTGAACTCAGGTCCTCCTGACTCTAAGGCTGGAGCTTTATCCACTGCGCCACCTAGCTGCCCCCCTAGAATACCTTTTCAACTTGAGTCCCACTACACAGCTTTCAAGAAATCAGGGTCATATCTATGCCATGACAAAGCATCAGAAGAGGTCATTAGTAGAAGAAGAACAGTAACAATCACATTTATATAGTACTTTGCTACCTGATCACAAAGTTTTATTGTTTTATCTATCATTCTAGGTCCTGGGTTCTAGGTCCTGATATCCCTTAGACCTTCAACATTCTATTACTCCAAGATCCCTTCCAGCTCTCAACATTCTAATTTTCTATTTTAAGGACCCTTACAATGGTATGATTTTATGACTGGTTAAGTGGTTCCATTCCCTACCTCTTTGCTCGGTTTCCCCAGATTCCAACAGTCATTGTATGAAGTAGCCAGAAGAGCATCATAGAGGAGGGTCAGACCTGCATGCAGGTGATCTGGAGAGTTGAGGTCCAAGTTACAATCTCTGGACAATGAGTCTTGGGCTCTGCAGAGCAAAGGAACTGGCTCCCAGGTGACTTCACCAACTTCCCATCCCCCCTGCTGAACAATTTGCTTCTACGGCAGTGAACTCACTGTCTGCCCCAGAAGCATGTCTCATTCTGATCTATTTCATCAACATGTGCCAACTGTTCTGCCCAAGTCACTGGACAAGGCAACAGTGAAGGGGCCAGGTGGCATTCATGGAAAGAGTGAAAGCCTCTCTTTGAGATTACAAATACCTAGAGAAGAAGTCACTTCATTCAGCCCTGACTTTAATAACAAAGGCCCATAGCATTTTCCACACATTTGGGAAACAGTAACACTTGAGTGTAAATTGGTTTATTCAAAACTCTTTGAATATAGCCTTTCTAGAGCAGGTCATTTTTATTTGTTGCATAGAAATGAACGGTTAGTTTAGATGTATTAGTGCTGGGTTAATTTAATAAGAAGTTATATTTTTAGAAAAAAAATTTTAAAAAGCAAAAGTAAATAGCAAAGTGTACTTGGGTCAACCACACCCATGGGGAAACCTCTTCATGATTTATACCTTGGGGGAGACAGCTTAGAATGAGAGAGACTCAGCGTTTAATGGTAAATGAATTACTTGTCTTCTTTTCCCCTCAGTTGCCTCAGCTGTAAAAGCAAAGGTTCTCACTAAAGCCCCTGTTTGGTCTTCCACTAAAACCAGTTGTAGTCTTGGGCATGTCACTCCCTTTTGAGGGCCACTTATAAAAGGGGGACAATAGTGCCCCTTCCTAAGGTCATAAGGTTCAGATGAGGTATTTTTGGTCAACTCTGTGGTAGGATAGAGGGATGAAGGTAGGATGTGAGCACTTTTTTTTTTTAAAGGGAAGAGTGTTATGGATTGGGGCAGAAGAGGGAAGAATAATAATAGTTCATGTTTCTATTGCATTTTAAGAACCTGTTTTCTCCAGCAACCATCCTCCTCCATCCACTTTTCACAGAAGAGGAAACAGCTCAGAAAGAGATTTGTCCAGAGTCACACAGCTGGCCAGTGTTTCAGCTAGAATGAGGACACTCAGGATGGAGGAAGAAGTCTTGGGTGAGAATGACCTGCCACTCAACCAAGCTCCAGACTCTAAGCTGTGGGCTTGGGTTGTATGTCTTTGGCAGGGTCCTCTGGGGTTGTACTTCCACAGACCTTCCTGCAGTCCTCCTTATTAGTGTTGCCTTTGCAGTCACTATAGAAAAAGAGGTGGCAAGTGTAGTTAGCTGACAAGTACCGTCAAGGGGTGGAGGTCATGTAGGAACCAAGGTCCAAAGGCAACAAGCATGGATCTGAAGAGAATGGGGCTCAGGAGTCACCAGAGAGAGATGAGTCAGGAGTGGTAAGGGCTGGCCATCCTGGCAACTGCGGGGTGAAACCCTGGAGAAGAAACTTGGGGTTGGGGAAGGACAGGATAGGAAAAAGACACTCCAAGTGGGAGAGGGATGGATATCCTGAGAAAGGGAGAGGAGAGGGGGAGATCCCAAGGCTGAGCAAGAAAAGGGAGAGGAGAAGAGTTCAAGGGGAGAAAGAAAAGGGCCCAGGGATGGGGGAGAAGAGGAGGAAGAGAGCCCAGGGATAAAGAGAAGGAAGGTGGGGTTCGTAAGGCAGCATTTAACTTCCCTTCCCCATTCCCTCATTTTGCTTGGCTCCTGAGTTGGGGATAAATCACTTGACTCTATCTGCTGAATTTCGTAAGTGGGTGCACAGGCCAGATTCTCTGGCCTAGAGTGGAGATACTTGTGCTCCCTTCTTGTCAACAGCCAGGGCCCTTTAAAGTGTCCTAAGAATGAGCCAATACCTGAAAGAAGGTTCAAGAAACAGCCCAATGTGGCTTGTGACTGCTAAAGTGGAAAGGCCCTTGGAACTGAAAAGAATTGATTGAAATAATATTACTAAGCTTGGACAATCTGCTCTCCTGTGATTTCTAATGGTTGGGGAACTGTTTGGAGGCAAGGAAGGAGAGGTGTTTGGTAATGTCTTCTCTTCCATGACTGAAAACAAGCTCTGTTTCTGGGGCCTAGAATCCCATGGGTGGGGAGAAGGGCCAGGGATCTCTGTTCTGGGCCTGAGGGAATGGCCCCAGAAGGGCTGAGCTACCCTCAGTCCTAGGACTATTGAGTTTAAGGTTTTGTTCTTTCAAATATGGTTTAACAGAGTGTTCTGCCTGATCTAATTTAAATCCTGCCTCCAGTGCTTATGTGACCTTGGGTAAGGCTCTTCCCCTCTAAGCCAGCCCCCCCACTCCTATTCACTTGTACTACCTCCTAGGGCTGTTGAAATGACTGGGCTCTGTAATCTTCAAACACTAAGCAAATAGAAGTAAACTTAGGACAGCCAGTCAGAGGACCTATTTCCTGGAGATCCCTTCAGGGTCAATTCTTTACATGGACCATTAGATAGTAGAAGGAAGGGAGATGGCTGCCCAGAGATAGGGTAAGTGGATGTGAGAACCTGCTGTGAGTTGGGGGAGTGGAGAGGGAGGCATGACCCCTTGGGATAAAAGGGCTGGAAATATGGGATGGTAAGGGTGGAGTAATGTTTAGGGGAAGATATCTATTTCACCTCTCTCTTTGCTTTCTCTCTCCCTAGGACTTAGAGCCTTGCCAGCACCTGGATTCAGGCATTTGTAGCCACAGCTGAAATGACAACATGTCATATTTTCTAGGCACTGATTGTCTTCAAAGCAGTCCCGGGAATCCTTGATAGTACATTTAGAATATCTTCCGGGCATATGTCCAGTTTCTGCAGACCTGAGGAAGTTTGGCCACCACCCATCTCCCCTCTCCATACCCAACAACCTCAGGGAACTAACTCTCTTTCATCCATTCCCCTTAGCCCAGAATAAGGTCTCTTTCCCACCTTGGATGTTGACTCTCACTCATCTCAGGGCCCTGAAATGTGATCCTAACCTTCAACTGCTTTCTTTGGGTTAAAACCCAAGGTGATCCAGAATCCAAACTGGAACTAAGCATTGGACTAGTCGGGGATGGGAGGACAGATGCGCAACTACAACTGTTGTGACTTGGGTGGGAACAAATTTGTCAAATCCTTGCCAAGGGATAACCAGTGCTGAGCAGCTTGAACAGGAAAGGGATGGAAGTTTTATATTTGGAGGGTGGGATGGGGCAGGTGAAAGAGTGAGGGAAGAAGACTGGAGATGAGCATGTGCAGAGCATAAAAGGTCTTCCTTCTGGAGTAGAAAGAGAAATGGTAGCCAAGATACCTGGACTTCATGTTCAATTAACTTTGCTAGGCCTCTATGTTCCCATCTGTAAAATGAGAGGATTAGCATTTTTTATTTCTAAGGTCCCTCTGAGCTCTAACATGCTATATTTTAAGTTCTCTTTTTCCTCTGACACTTACAAACTTGACATTAATAATAATAATGATAAAAATAAAACAATTCCAAGTTTATGAGATGGGCCTAGATAACTCTGCAAGCCTTCCTTCCATTGAGTATCCTAATCTCTCTCTTTAACCCCCACAAATTGAAGAGAAAACGAGCCACATTCTTGGGTTTGCCCATCTTTTTGATGTTCTTGTGTATCCACAGGCTCCAACTTCCTCTTCCCCACAATCTCCAACATTTTGCTCAAGATATGGAAGGGACACCCCTGCTCAGGGGAACCAGAAGCCCCAGAAAAAAAGCCCACTTGAGCTACTCTCAGCCCTACCTGGGGAATGGTGCCTGTGGAGCCTGGTAGCTCTCTCCAAGGTGAGGCTGAGGAGGAGGAGGCCAGGAAAGAGGCTGCTGGGTCCTGATGAGGCTGGAAGTCTAGAGCCAGGAACCAGGAAATGACTAGCTGCTGAGGCTATTTGTGAAGCTTGTATAGGATAGGGAGCATTCAACATCCCCTTGCCACAAGCAGCTGTTCTGGAGGTGGGGGCTAGAGGCAAGAGGTGACTCCTGTTTGTCTGAGAACAGACAAATCAGTTACTGCTCAGGCCTTCTCCCACCAGGCCTCGTGCCTAGCATTGGCATCATTGCCAGCTAGCTAGATAAGTCCTTACCATGTGCCACTGTGTTAAGTGCTAGGGATACATATGGAAGGAAACAAGACAATGCTTGCCCTAAAGGAGCTTGTGTTCTAGTGGGGAATCCAATATGTAAAGGAGAGCTGGGGAGGGGGATGTGTAGAGATGACAGAGAAGTGTCATGGTGGCCTAATTCTAGGCAAGATGAGGCAAAAGCTCATGTATGAAAGCCAGAGGATCCAGGGGCAGAGTCCAGGGTTTAGAAGACTGGGGATCAAGGGGAAAGGGAGATGAGGAGGATGGATGGGGACAGTATAGGCAGCATGGAGAAGAGATTGCTAAGCTGTGCTGGTCATGCCACGCACTCTCCTCCTGTAACGAGCAGGCTGCCAGGGTCATACTTACCAGTCTTTGGTGCCCACCCAGATAAACACAGAGATGAGCCGATCAGGAGGTGCCAACACTGGAGCTTTATTCAGAGGCCATCACAGCAAGGCCAAGCAGGAAAGCAAGAGCAAGAGAGCAGGAGCAAGAGAGTGAACGCTCCGATCCCTACTGTCCCTTAAGTACCTTCTTCGTCCCTCCTCCTCAGCCCGCCCACTAGTGACTCGTTGTAGGATCAGTTACCGGAAGGGGATGTCTGGGGTTAGCGCTGCACCTAGGGAGAGGACGTGACAAAGGAAGCTCGTTCTCTGCCATCCCACTCCCACGTGGCACAGCCCCCTGCCTCAGGAGCACATGCTCCGGCTACTTGCCCGTATCCTGTTCCTACCCCAGTTCACCACAACTCCACATGGCACAGCCCCCTGCCTCAGGAGAGTGAGCTCCGGTTACTTCCCCATATCCTGTTCCTACCCCATCTTGCCACAACTCTCACGTGGCAGTAGCCAACATCAGACAATCCCTCACACTAAGCAGTGGGTTCCAGGCAGGGGCCTACAGCGTTGGAATGATTTGTAAACCCTAACCTCAACCCTCCTCTTGTCTTCCCCCATCCTGGGCCGGGCTCTGTGACAGAGTAGAGAGGGTCTGCCCTGGCCTGTTCTTTTCTGACTGTTCTTACTGTCCCTTCTCTGTCTCCTTCTACTGACTGCCCTGTCCTACTAACTGCTGACATTCTCAACCTGAATCCTTGACCATGAGCTCTGCTCTTTCCTTACTCTCTCCCAACTCCTTTACCTTTAGTTAGCCTTTCTGTAGTCTTTTTGTTCAGTCATTTTTTTCAGTCATATCTGACTCTTTATGACTCCTTCATTAGGGGTTTTCTTGACAGAGATACTACAGCGATTTGCCATATTTTTCTCCAGCTCATTTTACAGATGAGGAAACTGAGGCAAACAGGGTTAAGTGACTTGCTCAGGGTCTTTTTACCGGGGCTGTTATGACCCTTCTCATATTCTCATATCTCCTCAAGTATCCCATCACAATCTTCCTACTCACTCTCTTATGTATGTTCCCCCCAAGAAAAATTTAAGCTTCTTAAGATTAGGAATTGGGGGGAAGTTGAGGCTGGTGGATTGCTTGAGCTCAAGAGTTTTGAGTTGCTGTAGGACTAAAGCCAATTAGGTGTCCATGTTAAGTCTGCCAATAATCTGGTGACCTTCAAAGAGCTTCCTGAGCAGGGCCAACCTAACCTGGGTCTGAAAAGGAGCTGGGCAAAGCTCTGGAGTTAATTGGAAGTAGCATTAGACTGTGGTGGCTGCACTTTCAACCAGAGTAAGATAGGGAGGAGAGAGAGAAAAAGAAAGAAAAAGAAACAGAGACACACAGAGAGAAACAGTGAGAGACAGAAAGAGATAGACAGAGACAGAGACACAGAGAGACAGAGAGAAAAACAAATATAAACAGAGACAGAGAGTGATACAGCAAGAGACAAAGAGATAGAGAAAGAGAGACAGTGAGAGAAAAAGAAAGAGAGAAACAGAGACAGAGAGAGAAACAGTGAGAGACAAAGGGACAGACAGAGACAGACACAGACACAGAGAGAAAGAAAAAGAGAGAGAAACAGAGGCAGAGAAACAGTGAGAAACAGAAAAAGACAGAGACAGAGACAGAGACAGAGAGACAGAGAGAGAGAAAAAGAGAGAGAATATTTTTCTTTTCTATATCTATATTCTCAGTGCCTAGTACAATGCTGGGCACACAGAAGATGCTTAATAAATGCTTGTTAATTGATTGAGGGTTAGAATATAAACTATTAGAAATTGAAAGGTCATAGTATCAGTCAGTCAACAAGTATTCATTAAACACTTACAATGTGCCAGGCACTGTGTCAGACTCTGCGGATAAAAAGAAAGGCAAAAAGAGTTCCTGCTCTCAGAGAGCTTACAATCTAGTGGGGGAGACAAACATGAAAATGATTAGATACAGAGAAAATATATACAGAGTAGATGGAAGGTAATATCATAGGGAAGGTATGAGCAGCACAGGGTGGGGTGAAGGACTGGGAAAGTATTGCAGGAGGTAGGTTGTGAGCTGGCTTGAAAGAAGACACGGAAACTAAGGAGTGGAGGGGTATCTAGGGATAAAGGACAACCTGTGCAAAGACACAAGCATGGGAGATGGTATGCCATATGTAAGGAACAGCTAGTGTGGCTGGATCAGAGAATGCACAGAGGGGAGTCAGTCAGTCAGTCAATAAACATTTATTAGGCACCTACTACATGCCGGGAACTATATCAAACACTGGAGATACAAAAAAGGGCACAAAACAGTCCCTGTCCTTGAGGGGTTCCCATTCTAAGGGGGCAGGGAGATGAAATGCAAATAATTATGTGCAAACAAGCTACAGACAAGATAAATTCGAGATACCCATCAAAGCGAAGGCTCTAGAATTCATGAGAACTGGGAAAGACTTTTTGTAGAAGGTGGGATTTAAGCTGGGAATTGAAGGAAGCCAGGGAAGGCATGGGACATAGATGAGGAGGGAGAGTGCTCCAGGCATGGGGGACAGCCAGGGAAAATGCCTGGAGTCAAATGGAGGGTCTTGTTTGTGGAACAGCCAGGAGGTCAGCGTCACTGGATCAAAGAGTAAATACTGGGGTGTGATATGTAAGAAGACTAGAAAGACGGGGGGGGGGGGAGTGTGTCAGGTTATGAAGGGCTCTGAACGCCAAACAATACATTTTATATTTGATCCTGGAGGTGATTGGGAACCACTGGGTTTTATTCACTGCAGATTGGGGGCAGGGAATGATATAGTCAAACCTATGATTAATTAAGGAAGATCACTTTGATAGCTGAATGGAAAATGGACTGGAGGTGAGGAGACTGGAGGCAGGCGGACTCCCCAGTAGCTATTGCCATAGTCGAGGTGTGAGGTGATGAGGGTCTGCACCAGGGTAGGGGAAATGTTAGAGGAGAGAAGGGGGCATATTTGAGAGATGGTGCAGAGGTGAAATCAACAGGCCTTGGCATAAGATTGGGTCTAGGAGATGTTAGATAGTGATAAGTTGAAGATGATATCAAGGTTGTGAGTCTGGGGAATAAGACTGAAAGAGTGGATAGGGCCCTGGTGGTGAAAAACTTTAAATGTCAAACAGGAGTTTATACTTAGATTTACAAGGAATAATTAAGTTTTCTTGGTAGGGAAGTGATATGGTCAGACTATGCTTAAGGAAAATCACTTTGGCAGCTGAATGGGGGACGGAGTATCATAGAGGGAGATATGAGGCAGAAACCAATTAGAAGGTTATTTCAATAGTCCAGGTGAGAGAGAAAAAGCATTTCTATGCAGCCTACTAGGTGCCAGGCACTGTGTTAAACATTACAAATATGATCTCATTTGATCCTCATAACAACTCTCGAAATAGGTGCTATCATTATCCTCATTTTCCAGATGAGGAAAGTGAGGCAGACAGAGGTTAAGTGACAGCTAATAAGCATCTGAGGCTGAACTTAACTCAGGTCTTCTTTACTCCAGGCCCAGCACTCTATCTACTGTTCTACCAGCAGATGAGACATATTGAGACTTGAAGTAGGGTGGTGACTGTGTAAATGGAGATAAGAGGATGTGTACAGAGATGCCATAAAGGTAGAAATAAAAAGGTTTGGAAATGGATTGCAGATGGGGAGGTAAATGAGAATAAGGAATCAAGGATGATAACAAATTTTCAAGCTTAGTTGACCTGGGTAAATGGTAATACCTTCAACAGGAATAGGAAAGTTTGAAAGGGAGGATGATTTGGGGGAAAATACAGAGTTCTGCTTTGGAAATGTTGAGTATGAGATACCTAAGGCACATACAATTCAAGATGTTTAAAAGGCAATTGATTATGTGGGTTTGGAGCTCAGGAGAGAGACTAGCGCTGGATATATAAACTTCAGACTCATCTACACAGAAATGATAAATGATTCCATAGGAACTGATGATATCACCAGATGAGATAGTACAAAAGGAGAAGAGAAGAGGGCCCAGGACAGAATCTTGTGGGACATCCATGGTTAATAGGCATGGTATGAATGAAGACGTAGCAATAGGAACTAAGGAGAAGTTAGATAGGTAGGAGGAGAATCAGAAAAAAGCAATGTCATGAAAACCCAGAGAGAAGAGAGTATCCAGGAAAAAGAGATGATCAACAGTGTTAAATGCTGAAAAGAGAGGTTATGAAGGATCAAGATTAAGAAAAGGCCTATTGTAATGAAGAGAATGTGGGCAACTTTGGAGAAGATAGTTCCATTTGAATGATGAGGTTAGAAGACAGATAGAGAGGATTAAGAAGAGAGGTAGAGGAAAGTGGAGACACTGAGTGTGGACAGCTGGAGTTTAGTCAAGAAAAGGAAAAGAGATATAGGGGAATCACTATCTGGGATATTGGAATAAGTGAGAATTTGTTAAATATGGGAAGGACATGGACACGGATATTTTTAGGGTGGCAGGGGGAGAGTGAGGGGCAGAAGAGAGGGATTCAGTAGACAGAGAAAGATTGAAGATTAGAGAAAGAGTGGGGAATGATAGTGGGGTCAATCTACTAGAGAAGACAGAACAAGATGGGATTAAATGTTCAAGGACTGGCCTTGAAGAGAAATGTTATCTCTTCGTAAGATACAGGAGGAGATAATGGGGGAAGATTTCTGAGTAATGTGAGATGAGAAAGAGGGGAGAAGAGGGAGATTTTGGGGGAATGGCCTCAATTTCCTCAGTAAAGTAAAAGTTAAGTCCTTGGCTATATAAGTAGGAATAGAGGAGGTGGATGGTAGGAGTAACCTAGGACTGAGTTTTTCAAATGAATTAAGACAAACCAAGGTGGGGAGGAGTTTGATAATAGAAGAATAGAATAGAATAGAATAGAATAGAATAGAATAGAATAGAATAGAATAGAATAGAATAGAACAGAATAGAACAGATAATATCAAATAGAATTTGATAATGGAATTTAATTGGTTATCTACATGGTCAG